ACATGAAGGCTCGGGAGGACATGGTTACTTGCGAGAGCCACTTTGGTGGATTGGAATGATCACTAGTAAGTGCTGCACTGTTCAAACTGTTTAGCTCTGTATTTTAGTTGTTTCTGTTATAAGATTTGAGTAAATCTAGATTTGCTTCTATTTTGTTTCGTCAAATTTTGCAGTGATTCTAGGAGAATTAGCAAATTTTGTAGCATACATGTATGCTCCTGCTGTTCTTGTAACGCCCCTTGGAGCATTAAGTATAATTGTAAGGTAATTCTGAAGTGCATCTCTTGTCTATTGGAATTGTACTTTTTCTCGGTAGTCATGATTCATGAATGTTTAAAGTGAATAGTTATATGAACTTGATTTTCTCCATTTCACTTCCAGTGCTGTTCTCGCTCATTTTCTGTTAAAGGAAAAATTGCGGAAAATGGGAGTATTGGGGTGTGTTTTATGTGTAGTGGGTGCTACAGTGATCGTGCTTCATGCACCTGGTGAACATAGTATAAATTCAGTTGATGAAATCTGGGACTTGGCGATACAACCAGGTAAAACTTATGTACTCTGATTATTATCATTCATGATACGTAAATATCTGGACTATTCCTTAATTATTTTTGTTTGTTTGGTCCAGCTTTCCTTTTGTACACAGCCTCAGCAATAGCTGTAGTTTTGGTGCTGGTGTTGTATTGTGGTCCGCGCTATGGACAAACAAACATTATGGTTTATATTGGCATATGCTCAATTATTGGGTCTTTAACGGTTAGTATTTATATCCATTTTCTGTTGACCATTTACTAGATTAATTGATTGATGTTGGGCAAGTGATATGAAACATAATTGTGTAACGGTGTAACACATTCCTGTGAGTCAATACCCAAAGTGATGTAGGACAGTAATATAAAACCTATAAGGCCCTATAACGGGGTTTACTCATGATTAAATTTGTCATCAACTTAAGAAAAGTTGATAGTTTGAGGGAGTTATTTTGTAACGCAAAAGCTGTTGAACTGGTAGATAGAAAAAGGTTGAAATTCACTGCGTCTTGAAGATGTTTTGACTAGGTTGGTTGATTCCTGGACTATAATTTATTGGTCTTTGGCTGTCAAATTAAAGCCCCAAAGGCAAGTAGAAGGATAAGGGTTGATGAGGCTTTGTAGGACACAGATTAAGGGCAGTTCATCAGAGCTGCAGATGGCCATAATCTTGGTGGTAAGTGTTCTTATTCTGCATGCTATGATTGAGAAAGGGAAGGGTCTGGTTCGTCTGATAAGAAGGTAGAAAAAGAAAAGTCAACATCTTCTGATTGATTCTTAGTGGCTGATACAAGTGCGGAATAAGTAAAGAAAACCATAGTTATCAAATCGTGTATCGGAAGGCGTATCGTAAGATACAAATATTGTATCGTATCGTGTATCGTAAGATACGATGCAATTTTAAATAAATAATAATAAAATATATATACCTTTGAAAAAAAGTCATACACTCATAAAAAATATAGCATTTCATTAATACTCCACCAACTATTCAAGTTATCAACATAATCCACTACTATTATAATGCAAAGTTCACAACCATAGTTCACTAATTCAAACATTAAACACCAAAGAGACTTCTAATCCAAATTTCTAACATCCATTTTGAACTCAATCTTCAATTTCAATTGAAAATGCATCATCATCATCATCATTGTGATCAAATGCCAACAAGTCTTCACTTCCTTTATCATCTTCAACTTCTTGTATTTGCTCATCCTCATCCTCATCTTCAAGTTGAACTATTTGCTTTCCTTTTTTCTTGTATAAAGTAAGATTTCTAGGCCCTACAAAGCAACCAATACAAAATATAAAAAAAATAAAATTCAAAGTAATGGAGAAGAAGAAAAAACAACCACTACATTTTAATTACCTCTCTTTCTCTTTTTGCTAGTCCCTTCTTGAACCTCAAAACATTCACCAACATTCATCCAAGTAGTGTCCTCAGGAAGGAGTGCATCTTCTTTTTCAGTGATCCACTCATCATCAGATTCCATATCTGAGAGAGAAATAGGATCATAGGAATCACCCTCTAGTATTCTCTTTTGGTGTCTTGCCTCCAATCGAAGATTGTACTTCACAAACACAAGTGCACTTAATCTTTGTTGCTCTAATCGATTTCTCCTCTTAGAGTGCACCTGGTCAAATGTACTCCAATTCCTCTCACATCCAGTGGCACTACAAGTCAAGCTAAGGACGCGGATAGCAAGTTGTTGCAACTCTGGACAACATCCTCCAAATGATTCCCACCACAAGGCTATAAAAAATTACAATAGAATACTCCATTAACTAACTTAAGCAGTTGCATTCAAATAACTAACTTAAGTTAAGTTACCACTAACCAGGTTGTTTCTTCTTCCTCATTTGGATTGCCATGTCCATTCCAAACATCAAATCAGCATTATGAAAGATATCTAATTGTTTATCAACTTTTTCTCTCATAATAGGACTTGGGCACATTCTCTGAATAGTCTGATATAGTCCCATCTTTATCTCATAGTCCGCACTACCGGTGTAATGAAACCTGAAATAATTATTTTGATTTACAATGATCATTGATCAGCATACAATATATAGATATAAAATGATATAAAAATTGAGAAAATTAAGTCTTACGCGGGATTGAGATAATAGGCAGCTGCATGAAGAGGTCTGTGTAATTGCATGTTCCATCTAGTGTCAACAATAGTCCATATGGGCTCATAGTGCTTCTTCACATTACGAAAATTCTTTTGGATTTGTTCCTTTGCCTTGTCCATTGCCTCATAAATATACCCCATGGCAGGCTTTAGATCCCCATCTACAAGCCTCAACACCTTCACCAATGGCAACACACACTTCAAGCAATACTTGATTGATCCCCAAAAATTTTGGTCAGCTAGTATAATATCCATCACTTTTACACCATCTCCCTTCTTACAATATTGACTTCTCTGCCATTCCTCAGAAGCAAACATTGCTCTAAGCCCAATTTTATTTTCAAATAAACTCCTTAAAGTTAAATATGAGGTGGCAAATCTGGTCACACAAGCTCTCACCAAATCCCTTTTCTTTGTATACTTTCTCATAAGATTTAACACCCAAGAATGTCTATAAATGTAAACTGTGATTTTCCTTGCCTTTGACATTATATCCTTGTGCAGAGGAAGGTCCCCAATATCCGTCAAAATGAGATCTAGACAATGTGCAGCGCAAGGAGACCAAAACAACTTTTTCCTCTTTGCCATTAACAACTCCCCAGCTTTTACATAAGCCGATGCACTATCAGTTACAACCTGAACAACATTATCCTCACCAATCTCTTCTACCATTGAATCTAAAAGCTCAAAAAGATTATCCGCATTCTTACAAATACCTGAAGTATCAATACTTTTAAGAAACACACTTCCTCTAGGACTATTCACTAAAAAATTAGTGATAGAGCGATGTTTCCCATCAGTCCATCCATCAGACATAAGAGTACAACCCGTCCTTCTCCACTCTGCTTTATAATTTTCCATCAACCCACCATTAATCAAATTTGTTTCTTTTTTCAAAAAAGAACATCTCACCTCATGATACGATGGAGGTTTCAATCCCTTACCAAACGATGCAACAGATTCTAACATTCTTACAAAATATGGATCCTTTACCAAATTAAAAGGAAGGGCATTAGCATAAAAACATCTACAAATATCCAAGCATACATCTTCCCTACCCTTTTTCTTCATCATAGTATTCAAAGTAATTGTGGTGGTTGGCTGTATTTTATCAGCAGTAGTACTACCCACACTGCCACTACTTTTCGAATCCACAAGACTCATATCTTTGCTAATTGCCCTATCATCCAATAATTGCTTAAAAAATTCAGTTACTTCCTCAGGGCAATGCTTACACGCTGCTACATCTTTGCGATTACTTGCCAAATGATTTTTCATTCTTGAAATGCCTCCCCAATAGACATTTGCACAATGAATGCATTTCAATTTCAACCTTGATCTTTCTACTTTGTCACAATGTTCCCATGTGGGATCATTAGCAAGTTTTTTAGTCATTTCTATATGAAAATTGGATGCAGGTGATGCCACTGTTGCACAAAATTAAAATTAATCAAGATTCAGAAATTTTTATACAAAAAAAATATATATACATTTGGCTTTGTAAATAAATTAATATCATTACATACTGCACAGGACCAACGATCAATGGAGACTGGGAAGAAATAAGAAGAAGAAGAAGAAGAAGAAAGAAGGAGTACCTGGAGAAGGAAGAAGGCAGCGATCAACACCCACAGTCGGAGACAAGCAATCACCCACAGACGAAGACCAGCAATCACCCACAGTTGGAGACAACCCACAATCGATCACCACCCAGAGTCGAAGACCACCCACACAGTCGAAGACCACCCATAGTGATCACCACCCACAACGTTCACCACCCACAGTCGATCATCATCCACAGTCGATCACTACCCACAGCGATCACCACCCATAGCGATCGCCACCCACAGTCGATCACCACCCACAGTCGATCACTACCCACAGCGATCACCACCCATAGTCGATCACCACCCACAGTCGATCACCACCCACAGTCGATCACCACCCATAACGATCACCACCCTTAGCGATCGCCACTCGTCGTCGATGGCTGAAGAGAAACCAGAGACAGTCTGACTAGCGAAGGGCGAATATGTGAGAAATGAGAGATTTTTTTTTTGTAACCCTAACCACTGAAACGACGTCGTTTCAGTGGTTATAGAGATTAAAAAAAAAAATTAGAACACAAAACGACGTCGTTTATAAAAAAAAAAAAAAAAAAAAAATTGCACGTATCGTGCGTTTCGTACCGATACGTATCGTATCGTAAAAACGTATCGTGTATCGGACGATACAACGCAAAAACGATACATAACTACGATCCGTATCGTTTTAGGGCTGTATCGTAACGTATCGTACGATACGTATCGCGTATCGTACGATACTAACAACTATGAAGAAAACAAGGAGAAAGCAAAAGCAAAAGAAGCAAGTAGACTTCTCGCCTAGATTCTCTTAACCATTCTTCCCAAGTTTGAAAGTGTGTTATATGATGCCTAAGAACATCAAGAGATTTTATATATTTTCTGCTAACACTATATATGATTAATTCATACTTGCAATGTTTGAAGCCTTTGACTAGTAAAATTTGTTGACACCAAAATGATGGTTTTAAGCATAGTTGGACCAAAATAAGACCCATTTCTTTGCTCTTAAAGAAATACATGTTATTCACAAAATAAAACCAACAATGGGTGAACAAGAAAGATATATCATTCACAAGACTAAACCAACTGTTAGAGCATCTAACTCAAAACTATTTGGCAATAAGTAGAGAGGCCCCTCAAGCATATAAACTAACTTTGGGTAATTCTAATCATTTGATGTGGGATTCAAGTTATCTTTACACCAGCAATATATGAGTTTCTATTCAACATGGTAACATGACTCAACCAAAAACTAATCATGCATGAGTAAAAACTTTCACTTGTCAAATTAACCAAACCAATTAATTATTATTATAATCATAGTTGGACCAAAGTAAAACTTGACTCTTTAAGAAAATTTAATCGTTTATAAAACTGAACCAATTGTATAAGAAGTTATGTAAGAGAAATTATATTACTTGGCACAACTAAAAGCTAACTTTGTAAGGTCCCAAGTAAGGATCAAAATATCGTTTCGGTGTATTGTTTCGGTCACCTAGGAAACGGAAAAGTTTCGACGTGTTTCGGAAGTATAATGAAAAAAATAAAAAAATTAAGAATTATTTTTCTAAAACATTGATGAAAATATATCAAAGTATCTTAAAATACCTTAAATCATTCTAAAAAAATTGTGCAAATGCATTGAAATATTATAATACATTTAAAAATATTATGGAATACCTGAAAATATCATAATTTCGATTCCATCACTGTTTCATTTTGGTCTCCCGAGAAACGAAAATGTTTTTGCCGTGTCGACTATTTCGAAACGAAATTTTGATCCATGGTCCCAAGTGATCCCGTCCTTCAAAATGAACAAGGCTATCACCTAGTTTGGTCTTTCTTAATTTAGAGTGTTGTGAGGGCCTGACTATTTACAAACCTAAGCTTTGTCATTATTTGCTCAAAGTGGTTGTCGTTAGATTAGGACCCATAGGCCATAATCTCATGGTCGGAAGCTCAAACTTTTACTAGTGCACGAGACCAAGGATTGAAATTTCGCTGCATAGTTTTTGGTCAGTTTGGAAACAAAAATGTTTCGGAAATAGAAGAAAATTAGAGAAAAAAATTGAAATTTTGATTGCAAAATTGTTTGAAACATTAATAGGATTGGAATATTCCAAAACACTAGCTGGAACATTTAGAAACAACACAAAACATCTCAAAATATTCCAAAACATTGGAATTTCAAAGTTTGATCTTTGTTTTATCTCGGTTTCCACCGAAACTGAGATGTTTCAGTTGTTAGGCGGAAAATGAAAATAAATTTTGATCCTTGCATTAGACAACACCCCATAGTATCCGACTGACTGCCCCTACTTCGCATCTTTGAGCGTATACCTTTTATGGTAACATTAGATATGTAATGCATGCAGCACTTCAGCTCCTATATTCCTCAATTCGGATGTCATAAATACAAGGAATAGGTGAATGTCATTGGGAATCTTGAAAATATAATTGCTTATCAGGGTCATTATTAGAGCACAAAAAAATTTCCTTTTTTATTTATTTATTAAACTTTAAAAATGCTTGTTCAGTATGATATACTAGTTGCAGCGCTAACACATGCTGGCACTTACAGTAAAGATACTTTAACCCCCAAGTTGTTAATTTGCTATGACTTGATGTGTAACTTTTTTTGGTGCTCTATTGAAGGTTATGAGCATTAAAGCAATAGGTATTGCTATAAAACTTACATTGGAGGGTTCGAGTCAGGCAGCACACTTCCAAACATGGGTTTTTGTAATGGTTGCTGTTACATGTATAATCACCCAGCTGAATTACTTAAACAAGGTCAGCTTTCTTTCTTTTTTTTCTCCACTTTTATTTTTTGTGTCATGTTTAGTTCTTGTCATGGTGCTGGAAGTGTGAAGTAAAAGATAGTGCCTACACTTATAGAAACTCAAAATCTCTTTTCATCTTTATGATGTAAAAATTATTGAGCATGACTTGAAAAGGCCTAGGGCCCTTTTTGAAGCTAATTTAAGGTGGTGATTTGACATAATTGTTGCTGGGAGAAAAGAATAGATGGATAGACCCAGAATAAAGGGAGGAATGGCATGATTCTTTTATTTACTGCAAGACGGAATGGTAGCTGGCATTTTGTTTTGGAATCAAGTCATTTATCAATGGGCCAGCATTTCTACAAGCCAACAACTTATGCAACAATCTGAGTTTATGCCTATATTATAAGAACAAGAATTTGTATCACTTCACAGTCCATCTGCTTAACATATAATGATACTGGTACAGTAGATTGCATGTTTGCTTAGTGTCTTTCAAGTCACTTATTAGGATTGCTTTCTTCCTTGCTGAATAGCATGAGAACAATCCTATGTTTTCCTGCTATTAGATCTGATTTAATCTGCTTTCGCCATTGTTCTCCTTTCACAAAGCCTAATCGTTCTCTATCGAAGTCCATGCCTAGAAGCGTAGAATTCGCAAGAAAATTGGAAGATGCATTTGTCCCATATGAGGTCTAGAGTTGGCCCAAAAACTCTACCTTAACTAACGCTTGCCAAATTCAACCTTCTACCCTTTGGCCATTAGGTTATCATCGAAACCTTGAAATTCTTGATGTCTAAAAGAATCACTCTCATCAGAGGGCACTTTTCAACCTGTAGAACCTAAACCTGGAAGCTATTCACTTCAAAAACTCATCCTGAAATCCTTTTTATGAGGGTTATAACATATAATTTGTGAAGCCATTCGGTGTCAAGGCACCTAATTAGAGCTTTGATGGTATGTTAGGTTATTAGACTATTATTGTATGAACATAGCCCTTGGGGGAGCATGTGTTCCCCTCAACTTGATCACAAAAGGGATATTTCTTGGTCAATGTAGTCCACTTTGGATCTCTGCGTACCTTAAAACAATAGGCTATAAGTTGCTGATCAGGAAAAAACACATGTAGGAAAAGTAATTTCGGGATGCTCTTCTAACCAAGTTCAACAACTTTACCATTCCATTTAGAAATAATTGCTTCTTGCCTAATGGAGAAATATAAGTTCCTGTTTGATTTTGTATGTCTTTGCAATTTGTTGTTTTGCTCCAATCTAGAAAATAATGTAGTTTGGTGAATGAGTGTGGCTTTTTTTTTCAGGCTTTGGACACATTTAACGCGGCTATTGTTTCTCCAATCCATTATGCCATGTTCACGTCCCTCACTATTTTTGCCAGTGCCATCATGTTCAGGGTATTTCTCTTTTAAGATTTATATATGGGACGCTTTTGCTTTTTACCATATAAAACTTATTGTCAATATCTACTGTTTTAGGATTGGTCTGGTCAGAGTGCTGGCAATATTATTTCGGTACTTTGTGGTTTCATAACTGTGCTTTCGGGTACTATGGTTTTGCACAGTACCAGAGAGCCAGATCCACCTCCTGTTTCAGGTACTTAAATGCTGAAACTACAGTGCTTCTGGTTATATGTTCAAGGGATTGCTCTTGTGCTCATGGGATTTAATTCCTATAACTGACTACTGTTTGACCTAAATTTTACAAATTCATGCCAAGGTAAGCCTTAGGCATGTAACTTTTCATCAAGGCTTGATTGTTTGTCTGCCTTGGCAATATTACACTAGGCACCTAGTTGTTAGTTGATCTACGGCAAATCATCTCAAGGTCTTTAGCAAAAATACTATAAGATCTATGGGTTTGAAGTTTGACTATATTTTAGGTCACCTTTCGCAGCTGTCCTCCCTTTTTTCATTTTGGTAGCACTGTGAATGATTAGTCATGGATAAAACGCCCCACTGAATCCGATTTCAGGCTGAGCAATATTTTTCTCTCCATCTCTCTCTAGTCATTTTTGTTCTTTTTTATAGCTTCTGATGATAAGTTTTGGGATAATTGCCATCCTAAAGTTGCTTATATTCCATTAATGGTTAAATTACAACTTTATTAATACCATGTTGAAAATTTAGAGTCTTGCTCATTCTATTTGGGTTGTTTAGTTTGTTTTAAACTAAATAGATTATCCCACACTTTAAATTGTTTCATTGTTAATGTTAAAATTGATTTATTGTGCTCGCTTAGTCCCTGTTAGAGCTTGTCTTCCATTGGTATAATTTACTCCTTGTAGACTTGAATGAATTTAGTGGACCTCTCCTCTCATTACTAATTGATTTTAGTTGGATTGGATGTCTTAACATGGTATTGGAGTTGAGCTTTGACAGGTTTAGAGTCAACCTTTTCTTTTTGGTATGTTCTACAGTCAAAGTCTAATTTGAAAAGTCAGATTACTTTTTCATGCAGCATTCCTATGCATGAATTAGATTGTGGCTTTTTTCATTTTTTTGTTGAGAGGAGAGAGGGTTTTGATTTTTTCCTCCATTGAAGGTAGAGAAACTGAAGGAGGGCCAAGAGATCAAGAAATCAGGGGTTGTTTGACTTTGCGAGAGAGAGAGAGAGAGAGAGAGAGAGAGAGAGAGAGAGAGAGAGAGAGAGAGAATCTGAGAGATGATAGATTGTTGAGTTTGAGAGATCGGAGAGACAACAGATAAGAGATCAGAGAGGATGATCAACGTTGAGAGGGTGGTGCCACAGAGAGAGTTGCTAGCTTGGGAGATGAGAGAGAGCGGATAAATCGGGAGGGCATTGAGAGCAGAGACGTAAGATTATTCTAGAAGGCGGGATTGGGGAATTTGCTAAAATCACCTAGTGTTTTAGGAAGTGAGGCATGTTTGGTTAAATAACTAAAGTATATAAACTATGTAGCTTGAATAGATTTACTTACCAAAAAAGAAAATTTATAGGATTTGTTCCATATTGCTTGGAATGTTGAGAGCCCTAAATGCGGTGCTTGGATAGGGCAATTGTCCCCGTTCACTCAATAGCTTGCAACCTATAATTAGGATGATCAACTTTTGAAAGGGATCTTTCCATTTGCCATGTAAGTTTAATATCGAGAGATGTATGGTTAACACAGTGGTCTGTTTTGTTGCTGGTTTTCAATTGATGAGAATCAGGCCTTTATAGAATCTAGTTGTCATGTAGCAAACTTTAACCTTATAGTTGGCTTATGTAAGCTATTGGATTAATTGCAGATTTGTATGCATCACTTTCTCCTCAAATATCGTGGCTGGTCCATGCTAATGGTGAAATATGGAAGCAAAAAGACAATGATGAGATGCACACTGAATTTGTTGCAATAATTAAACCGGACCATTTCAAATAATGCAATGAACTTGGATATACAACTCTTACAAGGTGCAGCTGGCTCTTCAAATTGTTGGCCAAGGCCTACATGTGCTGATGAAGTACTCCTAGTGTGCTATTGACTCTGGCATTTCTGGTCTTTGGACACGCATCAGTTCACCATATTCACTGCTCGAGGGTCTTGTGTTTTTTGTGCCAATTTTTGTAATGGGAATTTTTTATTATTTTCATTTTTTTTGGTATCCAAGGTTTTTTCACTTTGATCGGTTAGGTTAGACGGACACCAGGTCCTTGTATAATAATGACTAATTTATTCTTTGTTGTCACTATGGCTAGTTTATTGTCTGTATGAATGAGGGCACCGGCTTGGGTACTGTAAGAATGGTCGGACCTTTGCTTGTTAATGGAAAGCGTTCGTTTTATTTTTTAATTAAGGGAAGTATGGTTCTTCATATATGTTATTCAATCCTCTCCTCACTGAATTCTACTCTGGGTGGGCTTCACAATTTGATCACGTAGTTGTACTTGATTGTATTATTTTGCTAATTGGAAACGTAAGAGTAGCACAAGCAATTCAATTCGTACTTTTTTTGGAGTTGATGTATATGTGGCTGTTTAGAATGAAGAAAAGCCTAATAGAACTGCAAACAGAGTTTGCGAATTCCCGTTTAACTGATGTGTATTTCTCTAATTGGAAAGCCACTCTGATAGGCTGAATGATGTAAAAACATCTGTTGATATTGCTAATGAAGTATTTCGTGGAATGTTTGAGCTGAGGGTTGAGGAAATGAGCTAATTTAGTAGTGAAACATTATGACATTTTGGGTTTGTGTCGAGTACTTATAAATATTAATCTAATTCATTTATTTAATTGTGTCGGATGCCCTGACACTAATTTGATTTGTATAACTCATGAATCAAAATTCAAATACTAATATCTCAATCAAACCCACATTCACCGTTCATCTAAAACATGAGCAGCATTGGTCGAACTGCAGCTGAGCTCTTCAATGCAACCGAGTTCCTTTGTTGTGATTGGCATTCAGAACATGTCGACTCTCTCTCTCACAAATTCTTTAAGCGAGCATGAAGCTTCACATTAAAAATAGTGAAAGGTGTAACGCTCTAGGTACTATCTCGGGAAATATCGAGTTGTTCCAATCTTTTTCTCTCAGGACTACATGAGAACAAAAAGGCATCACGCCATAGCATCAAGATATTGCCATTCTTCAAATATTTTAGCAGGAAAACTATTTCGTATGACAACCATTCTACGTCAGGGTTCGTCTTAATGACATATTCTCTAGTCCATGACTCCTTCATCACCCAAATAAACATCCTCCCAATAAATCCCAAACTGATCTTCCATGCTGGTCATCATAAACAGGGGAGAATGGAACATTTTCAATGCTTCTCCATCTTCCCGTTCCCAGTATTCAAAATGTAAATAGTCTCGTCAAGATTGTATTGGCACAAGCATACAAAGCCATTAATAGAACCCACAGAAAGCATGTGCATTTGGGAAGCAAACTCCGAGTTTGAATTTCGTCACTGGGTCATAGTGAAGATCATGGTGGTCATGCTCATCACAAGTTCGACCAACTTGAAAATGTTTGACTCCGGGGTGGCAAGAATTGACCAAGTTGGTGAACAAAAAGGCTGGTGGGTGATCTCGAGAGTTGTAGATTAGCAAACCCAGGGTCTAAGGGTCTAAGAGTAGATTGTGCCAGGTCTTGCAAACACATTTGCAATGGGTGATAGTCTTGGTGGGAAGCCTGGAGAGAATTTCTATAATGATGTTTTCTAGAAGATCATTAAGGGACCTAATAAGAAAACTCTTATTTGGCTGTCGCTCAGGAGTGAACTTCACCTTCTGTCTATGGACTAGGCAAAGCCCTTTTTATAACATAGGAGTACTATTGCTGGTAATGGCAGTGTTTGGAACTTGAAATTTTTAGAGTGAACTATTTATAAGACCCTCAAATTAATCGTGACTTTCACATCAATTAAATTATTAAATTTTTTGTGTTAATTGAGCGTCTGAACTCTTTAATTGTATCAATTAAACTTTTTTTTTCTCTCTTTCTCTCCAACATCTGAAACCAGTAGAGAACCCAACTAAATAAGTGGGGAAAATCAGATATTTTCCCCTATTTATAATTTAAGCTTAGCCCACGTCGCGCCATCGTCCTCCTTTTCCCGGGTCTGTTTTCGCCCCGAAACGATTGAATTTCGCTCCGGTTTAATCTCAAAATATTTTATATAAACTTTCTTTAAATTTTAATAAAATTTTAGAATTTTTTATTTTTTGGGTGTTTTTGAGGTCACTCGACATCTGTAGTCTCGAAAAATGTGAAAAATTTGACTATCTCAGAATTTGACGAAAATTATCCGGGTAATTAGATTTTGCAGGACGAATCCAACGGTGAGGTCCGTTTCGTCATCCGAGGTTTCTTGATACCTATTATGCAAGAAAGGTAAAGATGTTAGTACATTTGTTAGACAATCATGTCTCAAGCCAAAAGAGGTTCAAGAAATTTAACAGACTATGTCAATCTAATTGCCTAACAACATATGTTGAGGTAATTTATGAAAATTACAGATAATATTGGAACTATTATATTATAACATGATAACATAACTATGTATTCATATACTTCCCAATGTTTTGCTCAATTGCTATCATCTCTTGTGACATGGTCTAATGCCAAAACATTTCTAGCCAAGTAGGAGTACAAGTAATAGTCATACGAAAATATGCATTTCAAATCTAAAAGAGTCACAGGATTAAAACAATCATATGATCAAAAGAGATTGCTTTTCACCCATCCTATTACATTATAAGAATTAGCTTCTATTAAGCAGCCTTAAAACTCCTCAAACTTCACATGTCATGAAAGAACAAACTACCCATAAAAAATTTAACTACAAATTTATTTTTACTTTGATAAAGAAACAAAAATCACCACATGCAATGCCCAGACATCTTAACCTATTATAGGGAGAATTATACCTAGACCCTCTGAGTTTTGTCACTTAATAATTCATATTTCCTGACATTTGAAATATTACACACAAACCCCTTAAAATTTGTATGCGCGTAACACTTAAACCACTGTTGTAAATATATCCGTTAATAAATTATATTTAGACTTCCCTAAAATTTGTGGGTATATAATACTTAGACCCTTAAGTTTAAAATATTATACTTAGACCAAAAATATTCTAGTCAAATATCAAATATTTTAAATTTTACAATCAAAATTCATGTTTTATTGTATCATTTATTAAAATAAAATTAAAATTAAAAATTTAATTTTTCTTAAAAAATTATAATTAGTATATAATTATATTGTCTATTAAAATTTAATTTGGTCGTTTAAACGAACAAATTAAAATAACAAACTATCTCAATTAAATCTAAAAGATATTGTGTCAATTACAGTTTGATTCCTTGTTTAATTTTTTAGTTTTGTTCTAATAGACAGTATACATATATACTAACTATGTTTTTTTTAAATAATTTTTATTTTTGATTTTATTTCAATAAATGACATAATAGAATATGAATTTTGGATGTAAAATTCATATTCTATTATGAATGATTTAGACCCATTGTTTGATTTTTTTAGTTTTATTCCAATAGATAATATAATTGTATACTAATTACAATTTTTTAAGAAAAAAATAAATTTATATTTTTAATTTTTTTTTAATAAATGATACAATATAATATGAATTTTAGTTGTAAAATTTAAAATATTTTATATTTTATATTTAATTGGAGTATTTTTTATATAAATGTAATATTTTAAACTTAAAGGGTCTAAATATTATATACTCACAATCTTTATGAGAGTCTAAGTGTAATTTATTAACATATATATTTACAATAGGGGTCTAAGTGTTATGTGCGTACAAATCTCAGGGGTCTGTGTGTAATATTTTAAATATCAAGGGATCTGAGTGATTAAGTTATAAATCTCAAGGATCTGAGTGTAATTCTCTCTAAATTATAATATTTGAATCACCAAATAGTAAATGAGAAAAATGCCACCATTTCTGAAAAGAATAGAGATCTCGTGAAATCCTCATTTGTCCAAATTTTCAAATTAAAAGATTTAGACGTAGCAAGAAGAAAGTTCATACTTGCTCCTGCAGTCTGTGGGATGGAAGCTCCAAGGGGGGGCACAATCCAAATAGGAGTCCAACAAGTATAGTATAATGACAAGAAAAATAAAGGAAAGGGTAGATAAAAAAAAGGGATATGCACAACTGTCTATAAATAAAATAAAGTTGAGGGAGATAAACTCTATCACGAGGTCGAATGAAACAAAGAACTCAATAGCACATCCTTCAACTAAAACTAGATGCTCTATATTTTCCCCAAAAATGAATAGGAATAATATTTCTTTCGTGGTACTACTTTCAATGACTCACTCCTACCCATTTTTTTTACCATCACTCCAACATTAACTATAAAAAACACAACTGCACTTTAAAAAAAATCAATAATAAAAGCCACAATTCTAACAATGATCAATAATGTAAAAGATGTCATTGATCACTTTCTTCACTCTTTTACACTTGAAAGACTAATATTCTATTCAATCATGGGACAAAATATCCAACTTTAGGATTTTTCTAAGTGTTGCCACTCACGGCAAGGGAACCATCATGTGAAGGTGGAATTTTGTCATTTGCCAACTACCTCATCACATCAGTCTTGTCCACCTCTACCTTGTGGGACTTTTGCTCAAGTAGCTTGTAGAAATTGTTTATTAAGAAGTTACTATGTGATAGTTGAATTATTTTGAACAAAGATATTTTCTATTCACTTCTAAAAAAACATGCTTGATATGAAATAACACAGTGTTACTAAATCTTATTCTGGTTGATCTTTTTAAGTTTGCATCAGCTCTCATCCTACCTCAATGTTAACTTACTTTGATATATCCTTGCGCAAATAATGAAAATTTTGGTAGAATGGCACAAGGAATAGTAAAATTTATACCCTCGTGATGAAAAAACTCATTGATGTTATTAATTCAACTTGACTATAAGGTCTAAAACTTGGGTCTTAATGTCATCTCAACCATGATTTCCTTAATATGAATCTTATTTTTAGAATTGAAAGGGAAATTATGATTTTTTCCCTCTACGATGTACTGACTGAAGTATTAATTGTGTATAAAGACAAAAATAATTCACAAAAATTAAAAACTCACATTGAAAAACCAGAATTTCAATCAAGTCTTAATCCTAAAATCTCAAAATTGCTAAATCAAATACTAGGCTCAATAAAAATTTGTCGAAAAGATCAACAACTAAAACAATAAAAGAGACAAACCCGTTAAAGAAAAATTGTCTGCTTGGACCCAAATTATTATTATTTTTTTGGTCGAGAGACCCAAATTGTTAAAACAAAAATTAAACACTATCCAAACAATCTATTCAAAACCCTAGTCAAAGATAAATAACCACAACAAAGTCCCTCGTTGGAACCAAACCCCAACACAAGAAATCTACTTGGAAAGACAAAAAACAACTAAAGAACTTTTTTAAAAAGAAAATCAACAACATACATCAAATGAAACACACCAACCTGAAGTATTGCAGCCCAAATGAGTTTGGTGTTTGATTCTTTTTGGTTCAATCTCATTTGTTGTAGACTAATAAACATGACTCATTGCTTCATAAGTGATAGTGATTCACATTCGTAGGTAAGAATTTCTAGGTTTTTTCCTTGTTTAGCAATGCAGACAAACAGTGAGAATGAGAGTTAGAGGTAGAGAAGAAAGGGACATAGGCAGGGAAAAACTGTTTGATTGATGTGTGAAATAATTATGGCTTGAATTGATTCACCATGTATTCACTGCATAACAATAAATGGTGAAGCAATAGTATATGCATAGATATTCTTAAAGAGGATAAGGGACCTCTTGTATGGGAGGAGCATAAGAGATAACAAATCATTGAGATCGCAGGGGCAAGTCCAAAGCTCAAAAAGTCTAGATCTCTGACAAGCCTTCCAGAGCAAATCATAGACAAGCAAATGGTCCCTCCCTTAATCTGATGTTCAAGGAACAAGACTTTGTACTTCTGTTCTATAGAAAAGCTGAAAACTTACATGTAAGAAAGTGAGAGCGAGAACTTGATTAAAACCCCAACCTAGAATTTCAAAATCTTACGAAGGTGCTTCAGGGTACTCCATGGATTTTTTTTTCTCCACCAAACTCAAAATTTCCAGTGACAGATGTAAGAGGAAAAACATAACATACAGAAGAGGAGCTTGCTCTGCTTTATTTTTGCTTTTCAGGGACAAGAGTTTCCAACTACATATGGGAATTTGATAAAACAATATCAACAACAGTATGCCCTTCTTGGCCATGTAGTTTGGTGTAGGGGTAAAGTTGTTGGACTAACAACCTTTAGATTGAGGGTTTGAATCCGAGGGCAATCAATTTGTGCAAATAATGGAAAAAATTAGGTCTATATGCAATTCATCCTTCGCAGTAACCCATGATTAAATTACAAAACTAGATAATACGCATCGTTTAAAAAAGCTTTACATCCATTAAAAGTCATAGAAACAAGGGTTAATCTTAATTTGTATTCTGAAACATAATTTGAATCTCAATTTGTACCCTTAAAGAAAGAAATTTGTATCAATGTGCACCCCTAAAGATAAAAAATCTCAATTTACACCCTAAAAGATAGAAATTTGTATCAATGTGCATCCCCAAATATCAAAAATCTCAATTTGCACCCTCAAAGATAAAAATTTGTATCAATGTGCATCTAAAATTAAATTAATAAATTATACCTAAATTCCCTCATGCTTGTCACTTAATCATTTGGACCCCTTCACATTTAGAATATTACTCTTACATCTCATGACGTTTGTGCACATGTAACACGTAACCCTTTTTCGTTGATATTTGTTAATATAACCGTTAAAAAATATAATTTTATCCTAATAAAAAATTATGATTTCATATTAATATTTATTTTATGGGTCCAATATACTCTAAAGTTCAAAATCAAGCTTAACATTTAAATGTTTAATAGAATAAAAGGTTGCATATTGAGTGATATATTGCATTGGATATAAAAAATATTATATAAATTTCTACATTCTATTGGACATTCAAATGGTAAGCTTGATTTTGAACTTTAGAATATATCGGAACCACAAAATAAAAGGTAATATGAAATTATAATTTTTTATTAGAATAAATCATATTTTTTAACGGTTATATTAACAAATATCAACAAAAAAGGATTACGTGTTACACGTGCACAAACGTCATGAAATGTAGGAGTAATATTCTAAATGTGAAGGAGTCCAAATGATTAAGTGACAAACATGAGGGGATTTAAGTATAATTTATTAATTTAATTTTAAGTGCACATTGAAATAAATTTCTATCTTTGAGGGTGTAAATTGAGATTTTTGATATTTGGGGATACACATTGATATAAATTTTTATATTTGAGAGTACAAATTGAGATTTTTTATCTTTGGAGGCGCACATTGATATAAATTTCTATTTTTGAGGGTGTAAATTAAAATTTTTGATCATTAAAAGTACAAATTAAGATTCGAATTACAAATTGAGATTAACCCGGGAAACATTGACATCATCCACCACACAAGAGCAGTACTGATAGAGCGGAATCCGAAAGTCTGTGGCCAAATTCCTTTGTTGTGATCTGGCGATCAGAACATGTCCATTTTCTCTCTCACGAATTCCTTGAGAGAGCGAAAGCTTTCAACGTGAAGCATCACTTCTAAGTTTTTATCCATTTGGGCATATTCGCCGTTTGGAAAATCATGTAGCTCCAGAGTTTTCCTTTGAGGACCATATGAAAACAAAACGTCATCGCGCCATAGCATGAAGATATCCCCATCTTTCCACATTTTTATGGAGAAACTGCTTCCCATGACACCCAGTCTATGTCAGGGTTCATCCTAATGACAATCTTTTTAGTCCATGAATCCTTGATTCCATATTCCTTCATCACCCATATGACAAGATCAGATTCTGAAGTGTTATCACACACAGACAAACAACCTCCTACCATCCCAAACTGATCTTCCATTGCGGTGTAATCTGAGGAGGAGAAGAGACTATTTGAAATACCTCTTTCTCAACATCAAAACAACATATTGATTCAGGACTGTGGAGATCAGCAATTAACCAATGAAGGTTGTCGTTCAAATACACACCACCATCACCAAGGGACGAGAATGGGATACATTCAATGTTTCTCCATCTTCCAGTTCCTAATGTATAGATCTTACCTTCGATCTTGTATGAATATGGCAACAAACCCGTATCAGTTATCGGCTGTTGACAAAACTGTACCACCTTGTAATGACCAGAAACCGGACTAAATCCGAACCCATAATGGATCGTCGTGGGGGATCTTCTTATGTACTCTGTCCTTGGAAGGGTAACATACTCTCGCATAGTTGGATTGAAAATGTATATAGTTTCCACAGGATTGTATTGACATAAGCAGACAAAGCCGTTAACGGAACCCACAGAAAGTATCCGAACATCTGGGAGGCAGGCTGTGAGGTCGAATTTCATTATTGGATCAGAGCGAAGACCATGGTGGTCATGCTCATCTTCAAGTTCGATCAACTTGAAAACATCAGAGTCGGAGTCAGCCCGACTAAGAAGTTGGTGAATAAGAAGGGTGGTAGGTGATCTAGAGAGATGTAGGCTAACAAAACCAGGGTCTAAGATTAGATTGCGCCAGGTTCTGCAGACAAACCTGCAATGGATGATAGACTTGGTGGAAGCCTGGAGAGAATATCGATGATGATGGGTTGTGGTAAATCAGAAAGGGACACAATAGAACTCATATTTGGCTGTTTCCACTTGAGCTTCAACTCAGGAATGAACTTCACCTTCTGCCTATGAACTGGGTGATGCGATGCCCTTTTAATGTCCGGAAGTTGAAAATTCTGGTCTATTTCACATCGCCATGAACATAATTTGAACTTTCAACACCGACTTGACAAACAAAGACGAGAAAGAATCTTCAAGTCTTTGAAACATGCCTTGTGTTGAAGGTTCAGTGAAATAACCTCAAATTTGAAGATTTGAGGTTTAAACATCGCCAGACTTTTAGATCTACCGGAGTGGTTAACCACTCTGTTGCAAGCATGTTCGAATTCTTCCCCACCCCTGTAATGGTGTGAGCGAAAAAGAAAAAAAGAAGAGGTTTGAACATCACCATTGAATTGGATATAAAAAAAAAACATCACCATTGAAATTTTTAGTTTTTTACCCTGCTTAGTTTAACGAATGCTCGTTTACGTATGTTATCAAATACTTTGATAAAAAAAATTTATTATCAAATATTTGAGGACAACTTAGACTAACCCCTTGGCCAATGTGATAGGAAATAAAATAAGACTCATTCAACAATGGGGGCAGACGCCAAGTTGGAAAAGTTTAAGGACACCTTTACCCACAACGATTGAACAGGAAATCAAAGCCATTTATCTTCGGGCTTTGCTATGCTGACCAACTGTCATACGAAACAGAAATGCTATTTGGGGGACCTAATCATATACAACCAATAAATTGGTATGATTGTATTAAAATCATCTCTAAATAAGGTCTCTATAATATTATTTTATACGGAAAATAGTTTATCAAATAATTTATACAATGTATCCCCTATACTTCAATTATTACAATAACTACTCCTAAACTTTGAAAATATTAATTCATCCTTTATAAAGTTTTTCCAATCGACTTCTCTAAGTTTTTGATAATTTATCTTCCTACTTAACAATCTAATTCGAAGACTAATTATTCTTAAGTTAAATAATGTTGTTGGTCTTGATTCTAGTTCACGTTTTTATTGTTCTAGTGTTTTAATATTTCTTTGTAATACAGTCAAATTATGGTAAAGCTCGTGCCTAATGTATAATTTGCAAATAATTGAAGAGCTACTCAGGTATATAATAAAAACTGCATATAGCTTTTAGTGTCCACTTCGCAATTGCTTCATGAAGCCTGCTTCCTGTTCCGGTATCTTAAGTAATATTTTAGATACTAAGAGTCGTCTTCGAGCAATTGGAACAATCTACACGGCCCTTCTTGGCCTTTAACATTTCCTTCTACTCTCACTACATCCCAGTATCCGCTCTCTCTTTCTCCTTTGATATAGAGGAAAGACAGATTGCGGTTATAGGAGTATAACAATTAAAGAAAGATATCAATTAAGAAGCAATACTGAAAATTTTTATTCAATATCTGAAAGATTACACAGACCTTACTAACTCTCCAATGAAAAGTTTTACTCACATATGACGTCTTGGTGTATGAAAGCGTCATTCAAAATGATGATTTGAAAAAAAAAAACCTAGGTTTGAAAAATAAGTTTAAAAGGGACTGATTTTGAGAATTAAATTTCTATGGTGAATGAGTATGGTAAAAAGATAAACTAACTACTTTTAGAGGAAAAATTATAATTAGTCGAGGTAAATGACTTCTCTAAATAAGTTGTAACTTTTTCTTTGTGAGTTGTAAATTTTTTTTTATGAATCGTAACAAGACCCTTAAAGTTATAGTTTTTATGATCGATTATACCTTTTAAAGTTGTAATTTATAACTAACACATTATAAAATTATAACTTGACCTAAAAAAATTATAAATTTCGGTACAGTATTACCTTTGGCACCATAGTCTTTTCCATGATTTCTAATATGGGTGTTCCACATATTAGAAATGGTAGGTGATCAATCAGAATTGTGCTCCTATACTGTTGAAAATTTGTGTCATGTCATATTAACGTATATGTTGAAATTGTCACCCCCAAGTAGAATAGAACCTTTCATTCATTTAGAAAGGCTGATATCTGAACTTCAACCTACAATTTAGGCGCACGAGCACTTGCCATCATTTTAGGTTCGAACCTTTTAGAAATGATCAACACCAATGTCGGAAGGCATTGGTAAATGGGAAGGAGGAGCAATCGATGTGAAATTTCATAGTAGGGGTTGAGCTTCATCTGTAAAATATATTCTTAAAGAGGATAATGAACCTTTTGTATAGGTGGAGAATATGAGGTCAATCATTGAGATTGTCGGACGAGTCCAAAGCTCAAAAGGTCTAGGTCTCAAACGAGTTTCCCATAGCCAATCATAGACAAGCAAAATGGTCCCCCCTTGATCCGACGTCCATGGATCAAGACTTCTTGTTGAGCAAAATATCACTTCCCTTTCTTGACATAAAATTGGTTGTTGCCTACTTGTGTTCTATAGAAAAGTTGAAAATGGATCAAGACTTCTTGTTGAGCAAAATATCACTTCCCTTTCTTGACATAAAGTTGGTTGTTGCCTACTTGTGTTCTATAGAAAAGTTGAAAACTTACGTTTAAGAAAGTGAGACTGATAATTTGATTAAAACTCCAGCTTAAAGTTTCAAGATCTTACGAAGGTGCTTCAAGATACTCCATGGATTTTTTTTTTTCCCCCACCAAACTCAAAATTTCCAGTGCCTGGCATTTGAAATAGATGTTAGCGAAATAACTTCAACAGATTAGAAGACTTTGAACGTGTATTCACTTTCTTTAAGAAAATTATGCCCCCATTGTGTTGCTACTAGGTTTATGACAAATTCCTCTAGGATTAACAAAGCAAAACAGAATTTTAGATAGCAAATTCTAAAATTCTTCCAAGAACAGAATAGATAAATGTTATATCTTTATTGAAGGATCTGTACAAGTATTTATAATACCTTATAGATGTAACAGAGAGACACAACTTTTGGGCCAAAGAGGTGTAAAGAGAAGACACAACTCTTGGGTCAAGAGAAATTAATTAATTCAAAAATAATTAATTAGTTATAGAGTTCAAGTCCAAAATGCCCCAAGTGCCCATCTTTTGACTTATTTTTATTTAAAGCCTAATAAATGCCATTGATTTGAAATATTTGGAACTTCCCTCCAAATCTTCTCACCATCCAAATTTATAAAATTTGGTGTGTTTCTCCTTTTAAACTCTTATACTCCCGTTCTACTTTTCCAATGTGAGATACCTCACATTACTAACTATTTCTGACCATAGATATAAGAGGAAAAACGGAACATACAAAAGAGGAGCTTGCTCTGCTTTATTTTTGATTTTCAGTGACAATATTAACAACATTATGCCCTTCTTGGCCAAAGTGTGGTGTAGGGATTAAGTTGTACTAACAACCTCTAGATTGACGGTTTGAATCCGAGGGGCTCAAGAAAAATTTGTCGAAAATATCAACAATTAAAACAATAAAAGAGACAAATCCGTTAAAGAAAAATTGCCAGCTTAGATCCAAATTATTATTATTTTTTTGGTCGAGAGACCCAAATTGTTAAAACAAAAATTAAACATTATCCAAACAATCTATTTAAAACCCTAGTAAAAGATAGATACCTACAATCAAGACCCATGTCAGAACTAAACCCCAACACAAGAAAACCACTTAGGAAAGACAAAAAACAACTAAAAAACTTCTTAAAAGAGAAAATCAACAGCTTACATTGAATGAAACACACCAACCTGAAGTATTGCAGCCCAGTACCCCTCGATTAAATTACAAAACTAGGTAATACACATTGCTAGAATAGTTATAAATGCATAGAAAGTCATAGAAACATTGACATCATCCAGCACACCAGAGCAATATTGATAGAGCGGTACCCATAAGTCTACAACCGAAAACCTTTTTTGTGATTCGGCATTCAGAACACGGTGATTTTCTCTTTCGAGAATTCCCTGAGCGAGCGAAAGCTTTCAACGTGAAGCATCACTTCTATGTTTTTGTCTATTCTTGCATAGTCCTTTGGAAAATCATGTTTCTCCAGAGTTTTCCTTTGAGGACTATACGAGAACAAAACGTCATCGTAAAAGAACATGAAGATATCCCCATCTTTCCACATTTTTATTGCGTGAACTGCTTGATATGACAGCCAGGCTATGTCAGGGTTCATCCTAATGACAATCTTTTTAGTCCATGAGTCATTGACTCCATATTCCTTCATTACCCATATGACAAGTTCAGATTTTGAAGTGTTATCGCACACAGATAAACAACCTCCTACCAATCCCAAACTAATCTTCCATTGCGGTGTAATCTGAGGAGGAGAAGAGACTGTTCGAAATACCTCTTTCTCAACATCAAAACAACATATTGATGCAGGACTGCCGAATTCACCACTTACCCAATGAAGAAAGCCATTAAAATAAACACCACCATCACCAAGAGACGAGAATGGGACACTTTCAATGTTTCTCCATCTTCCAGTTCCTAATGTATAGATCTTACCTTCGATCTTGTATGAATATGGCAGCAATCCCGTATCGGTTATCGGCTGTTGACAAAACTGTACCACCTTGTAATGACCAGAAACCGGACTAAATCCGAACCCATAATCGATCACCATGGGGGATCTTCTTATGTACTCTGTCTTTGGAAGGGTAACATACTCTCGCATAGTTGGATTGAAAATGTATATAGTTTCATCAGGATTGTATTGACATAGGCAGACAAAGCCGTTAACAGAACCCACAGAAATTATCTGAACATTTGGGAGGCAGGCTCCGAGGTCGAATTTCATCACTGGGTCAGAGCAAAGACCATGGTGGTCATGTTCATCTTCAAGTTCGATCAACTTGAAAACATTTGACTGAGTATGAAGTTGGTGAATAAGAAGGCTGGTGGGTGATCTAGACAGATGTAGGCCAGCAAAACCAGGGTCTAAGATTAGATTGCGCCAGGTTCTGCAGACAGACCTGCAATGGATGATAGACTTGGTGGGAAGCCTGGAGAGAATATCGACAATGGTGTCTTGTGGTAAATCAGAAAGGGACACAATAGAACTCATATTTGGCTGTTCCTACTTGAGCTTCAACTCAGGATTGAACTTCACTTCCCGCCGATGGACTGGGTCATGCGACGCCCTTTTATAACATAAGCTGAAGGATTACCTAATGCTCGTTTGCATATATTATCAAACACTTGGTAAAAAAAAATTATTATCAAATATTTAGCGGACGACTTAGACTAAACCCTTGGCCAAAGAAAGAAAATAAGACATTCAACATTGGGGGCACACGCCAAGTTGGAAAAGTTGAGATAAGGACACCTTATCAGCAACGACGGAAGGAAATCAAACCTATTTATCTTCGGGCTTTGCTATGCTGACCAACTGTTGTACGAAATAGTTTATCAAATGTACGACCCCTATATTTCAATTATTACAAAAACTACTCCTAGACTTTGAAAATATTATTTTATCCCAAACAAATTTTTTCCAGATGTATTCTCTTCTTATTTAACAATCTAATTCAAAGACTAATTATTCTTAAGTTAAATAATGTTGCTGGCCTTGATTCTAGTTCATGTTTTTGTTGTGCTAAATGTTTTAATCTTTATTTGTAATACAATCAAATTATGATAAAACTCGTGTCTAATACATAACATGCAAATAATTAAAGAGCCATTCAGGTATATAATCAAAACTGAAAAATATCTTTCAGGGTCCACTTCGATTCCTTCTTCTTCACCTTTACTTCTTCAAGCCTATTTCCTGTTCTCGTATCTTAAGCTAGATTTTATGTACTAAAACTCGTCTTCGAGCTATTGAAACAATCTGAAGGAATCGTGTCATCATGACGTACAAAAGGGTGACAATTTTATACAGTACATCAATACAATGTGAACCCAACCCAAAAATATATAGGTGGGGTTATTCGCGTCTCGTAAATTTTCATTCTCACCCAATTTAATTTCTCATTTTCCAACTATTAAACTCATCCTTTCTATACTCACCCAATTAGTAACTAAATCTATCTCATGTTATATCAAACTACTAAGTCCATCCCTTCTATACCTACTATATTAGTAACTAAATTCATCCAATGCTACATACACTCCATTAATAATTAAGGTCATGCATTTTATGTACACCCTTTTAATGAGTAAGCCCAACCCATTTTGTAACTATCAATTTGTGATTAATCTCACCCCATTAATGATTATGTCTAGCCCATTAACATGCTGATATATCTTTCAACTTTTGAATCATGTATTTGATGTCCAGTGAAATAGTAATATTATGAATAGAACTTGAATATCAAATATCAAAATTAAGAGTATTATTATGCTATGGTGCATCACAATGACGAGAAAAGAAACAAAAATTATGCATTGATACGGGTAGATGCCCTGACAGGTTTGTTTCTATGTCCTTCAGATTCAGTTTATTTTTACAGTGGTCCAACACTGGAGATATAAATAAGCGGGCCAATTCAATGGACAGAAATGACTAGCATCATTCATAGGAAATTACATTAGTAAAGTTTTGTTTTTGTGCAAGGATGTCATGATTCTATATAGAACGGAGTTAATTGTTTAGTGGATAATACCATTTTAGCAAAGTCGCTTTTGGGAATGAAGTAAATAGTCCTCACAAAAATTCAAGATTATAATGACAATAATTCTTGGAATGAAATTGACATATCCTCCTTCCAGAAACTTCTTGCAGAAGGTGTTTTTGATCTCTCTTATCGAGCACAGAAGTTGAGGACTGTAAAATTTTGCAGAGGTTTGCTTTATGCAATTTGACAAAATCCAAATGGGTTGAACAATATAATCTACTCAAGGTTCGAATGAATTACCTAGAAACTAAATATTATGATGTGGAAAAGCTAAGGTATATCTTTTAAACTAATGTAAACTCTACCACTATTTTGTGGGTAGGATTTAAGATGTACTAGTGATTCTGTAGACACTGGAGGACTTGGTGCCATTGCATTTAAAAAAAAAAGTCATAAGTTCATTACGAAGCTAAAAAATACAGATGATATAAGGCAACCCAATTTAGTTCTAGAACCCTGATCAAGCTTCTCCGCTATCACCTCGATTCCATAAGCTGTATCAAGTAAAGAAGACCCCATGTATAAAATTATAGACAAAAAGATATAAATCAATAGTGACTCAATATTTATGAAAACATAAAATTATTACGATTAAAAAAAAAAAACACTTACCTTGTTTTTAGGCTATGTCGTCAAGAATATTTGCAATTGCAGTTTTTTGATTATTTCCTAACAAAGACTTGAATCTTTCTATCCACACCAAATATGGAGTAATACCCCTGCTAGCCAGTTCATAATGATACTTGTGCCACATAGTTGACACAGGAGGTTAGGGAGAATCTACAATGAACTCAAGTTCGACAAAGTGACTTAAGTTGCTGTAACCACATCCGACAATCCGAAGACTTGGTTTGTAAGGTGCTTGTTAACGAAGAGGAAGAAATGTGAGACACTGCTGACGTGATATATGGACTACAACAATGTTATAACATGACGCAATAATGTGCCACATATATGGCATTGTCATCCGGCGTTTAGAGCCAACATTATTATCCCAACAGTGAATGGTTTCCTCTAATTCAGTTACACGCTCTTCACCACCCAATACTTGAAAGTAATCAAGGTTAAATGTCTTCAACTCATTTAATAAGTCTATCCTCACTTGTTTCCAACCATTATCCCCCCATCTCTAAGAATCCAACAGCCACCCAAAACATACAAGGTCCATCTCTTGGGACATCAATGACATTAGCAAAAAAAGGAGCTATTGCATCTAGGAATTGTGTTACATACCTTATAGTATTGGAATTTCTAGTCAAATTTGGTTTTATGGGTTTTTAATCAGAGTACACTAGAGGCCCTTGAATGAATTATTGTGAAGACTAGTTAATGATTAGTTTTGTTTGACTTTCCTCAAACAATGCAAGAATGTACTCAAATCTAAATAGATTGTGTTTAGTTGATTTTTCTGGTATCACAATGCTTTTCTTCACCCTCTTTTTTTTCTTCCTACCTCTTAGATTAACTTTTTGTTACTGGCTCAAGGGGGGAAGTCGCACTAGGATCAATCAAGGCTTGTAGGCGCTTCTTTATTTCCACTTTTTGTGTCTTGGTGGACTTGAAAAACATATTCATAAGCATGTCAAGCTTCAATTCAATTACAGTCTTATGTGCGTTTTCCTATACATAGGGACTAATAGTCAGTACTTATTTATTTTGTATGTGCAATCCATCATCAAAACAAAAAGGAAAGCCTTTATGAGTTGAATTGATGTTAGATGTGCCCAAAAGAGATCTTTCATTATCTCAATCACTAGTTCACTGCGATGATGCCATACTCGTGAATTCTTTTAAACAATTGTTGCAAGCCTTTTAGAAGCATTGTAAATGGTTTGTAGCGTTGAAGCATTGCTTGTATCCATCTTCTTTATTTGACATATTATGTCACATGGACAAACACCGCTCTTCGCCATTCCCTCCAAAATTTCAAGTTCATCATTTGCCAATCTGCCAACATATGAGGGACCCCCTAAATTTCCTATCAATTTGTGGTTATGAATCACATTCATCACTTTTAATCCCCACTGTACATCTCCACGACTTAATTGAGGAAACATAGTCGTATATAACCAAAAAATTGTAAAGTTTAGTAGCCTACCTACTTTGGTACTATAGTCATAGTACTGTAAAAAAGGTACACACATGAATGATACGATTTTGTTGTATAATGTTAGAAATATGTTTGAATACATAAATATATTTATGAAGCAAGAAAAAAAAAAGCAAAACTAAAACAAGAAGAAAAAAAAAACATGCTGAAACCAAAAAAAAGAAAAGAATAAAACACGAAAAAAGAAGAAAGAAGTAGACCAAAACAAAAATGAAAAAAAAAAATTATGCAAAGATTAAAGAAACAAGCAAAACTATAAGAAGTAAAATCGAACATGAAAAAAAAAACAAGCATCAAGTATAGACATAAAATTGAACAAGAAAAAAAAATAATAAGCATAGATGCAAATCTAAACAAGATTAAAAATGACAAATAATCTGAAAACATACATATATGTACACACATAAATTCAAAATAAAAAATTATTAAACTTGGACAGAGATGTCAAAACTTGTCAAAAATAATGAAAATCCATACAACGAACAATAAATTAAACATAGAATTAAATTGAGATGTAATACTAACCTATGCCACTTGAAAAATTCACATTGCAAAAAATATTTTTATGAGTGCATGAGATGAGATAGAAATTGAAACCTAATTATGACAAAATATAAAATTAGTTTACTTATTAAAGGGGGTGTATATAGCATGCGGTGAACTTAATTAATAGTGGGGTGGGTAAAGAAAATGAGCTTAGTAATTTGATAATGAGAAATTAAATAAAGTAAAAATATAGATTTGTAGAATGAGAATAACCTCATCCAAATATATAGTTATGATTAATTAATTCTCAAGACAAACTTAAAAATGACACAATTGAGCTTTGAAAATTGCATGATTTATAAAAATTTGATAACAACATCAGTATGCATTTTTAGGCCATGTTGGGTGTAGCATTAAAAGTGTCGGGCTAAGAGCATCTTCAACTATAATTCAAATTTAAACTCAAATTTGAATAAAAAGCTTGATTTAGTATAGAGTACTTCAATGAACAAACTCAAATATCTACTCAAGTCTTGTAATAAATTTCCTTATTGTCCCAAAACTCTTTTTTTTTGTCATTCAAATCATGATATTTGATAAAAACTTTACTCTCTCTACAAATGAGTAATTCCAAAAAAAAAAAAATGAATATGGATACAACACTAAATGGAAATAAAGAAACCACCCAAAAATTCTAAAATTGTTTTAATCTCATATCATTTTTTATAAATATGGATAAGAAAAAAAAAAGAAAAAAGAAAAGGAAAATAAAACTATTTTGACATGGGTCTGGTCTGAAGAACACAAAAACATACGTTTTTAAGAAAAATAGAAGATTGAAGAAATAAA